AAAGGCATCTTATCAAAGGCATCTTATCAAACGCACTTTACAAGAAACATTCCCGAACTTCAAGAAAATGAATTGCAATTTTACGGAAGCCAGTCATGGGAAGGGACCGATGAACGGGATAGGCGGGACGTTAAAGAGAGAGACTGAAACGATGGTGCAGCATGGAGGACATTACCAAAGCCTCTGAATTTGTTTTAGCCCATGGAAAAGGCAGTATAAGTCTCCTGGAAATTACACCACAGGAAATTAATGATTTCAAGGCAGAGGTGGAAAAGATTAAAGTTGCGCCGAGTAAGGGGATATCTAAAGCTCACCAATTAACTTGCGTGATTGGAAAGAAAATTAATGGAAATCTATTGTCATGCTTTGATAGTAAATGATATGAAGATAATAACTGCTAACACTACCATCTTTTTGAGGTAATATTCGTATTACATTTTACTTTTTTGTATTCCACACATTTTGAATTTAAGGGAATTGTTATTTGTTACTGAACAATAAATTAATAGCCTACTTGATTTGCTATAAATACGGAATTTAGAATAAGAACTACTTCATTTTAGACACTTAAAAAATTTACTTTTGCACATTGCACAAACTAATACTCAATACAGGGAATCTTTTGCTAGAATTGTCAACCAAAATCGTTACGTTCAATTTAAATTTTTTACTTCTCTTTAGGTTTTGCCTGTATTGCGAGTAGAAGACGTTTACACCTCTTCAGATGAAGATGCTGATGATCCAGCAAATTACGTCGAACCCGTGGATAGTGAAGAACGTGAAAATCAGAGGGTTCAGAAAAAAAATGGGGACTTTGTAGTAAACTTGTTAGGGGAAATAGACCTTAGGGATCCAATGCTCCATAATGTTCCAAAATGTGACATTTATAATTCAGACTAGTTGAGGATTTATAGTATTCAAGCGGAAGAACATTTGGGATGAATGGACCGCTGGAGACAAAATGCAACCCAGGTACATATTATGAAGCACCAAAAGGGGGTGGATGGAGACACAGGTCTATTTCCAAAACAGTTTCCTGAAACATATTGGCAAGGAAAGACCTGCCCTAGTTATTTACGATGGCCACACCACCCACATAAGTTTAAGCTTAATTCAAAAGGCTATTGAAGAAGATATTACCATTCTAAAACTACCTCCTTACACCAGCTACCTTTTGCAACCGTTGGATCTTGCAGTAATGAAGCCTTTGAAAGACAAGTGGGATGAGGAACTTGTTCAGTGGCAAAGACAACAAAAAGCTGCCAAAGTCCCAATGAGTGTATTTTCTAGGTAAAAGTACCAGTTAATGACACAGAAGAAAATTACTGAAGAAGTAAACTTGGATGTTGAAATTGAATTTGAAGGCTTCATTCACGTTATAATCAAGATGACCTAGCCGAACTGCCTACTGCTGTGCTAGATGAAATTCAAGTTTTGTCCATGGAACCGTTTGAATCCATGGAAATTTTGGACACCACCATAACGCATAATGAAAATACAACGACATCTGTTGTACCTCAGCCTTCAATATTAGATACTGTGGAAACTAAAGTAAGTTTACACTCTCAAAATGAGGCAAGTTCTTTAACAGTAAATGTCCTTGGCCCTAACAACTCTAGTACCCTTATTGAAAAGTAATTCCTCATCAGTTACTATAGTGAATCTGTCTAGCTCATGTGAGTCCATACACTCTGCCAAACAATCCTCCACAGAGAATAGTGATGAAATACTGGTACCGTATGATGGCATTACACCTAGTGTAACTGAGACAACACCCGAGACAAATAATACAAAAGCGGATGAAACTCCCATTTCACCAAAGGGTTCTAGCCTCAAGAAGTCAATCCTAAGTTCCAATCCACAAGAAAATAAGCTGAATAAAAAGGACATTTCTCTGGCTTTATTGGAGTCCAAGTGGGTAACAGATGACACAGTTCAAATTGTTTTTGACATCTTAAACAACAATATTGCACACAAGGATGTACATTTCATCAGTCCAGTATTAACACTACAGTAGCTATTAAAACCCTTGATAATTTTGGGGAAATTCTTTTACCCCAAAATCTGGAAAATAAAAAGTTTATCTTCATCCCTGTAAATGATTTGTCTAAGGTTCAGAGCATTGGTGGATCAGGGACACACTGGAGCCTTCTTCTGTGGGATAAGGGTCAAGACAAATTTTATCATTTTGACTCACTAGAAAATCTTAACCACCTGCATGCTAAGTGTATATACGAAAGGCTGGCTACATTTTACAATGCTGACGCAAACCATTCCTTGGCTTATGTAAGGACAGCTCGACAAACCAACAGTGTAGACTGTGGAATACACATGCTCCTGACTGCTGACTGCTTATCTTCAAAAATTAATGCTGGGCTTTTCTTTTTGCCTCCTCCAACTATAAACTGGAGACAGATTTATCAGTTCCAACATTTGCAGAATCGGATATCTTGACGAAACGAGCACAGCTAGCACTTATAATCTACAATGACCAATATACAAGGATAAATAGAGATACATTAACACAGCTTCTATTAAAAAAGGAAATAAAGAGTAACTTGACCCAGCAAAACCCTAACGCAAACCATGTACCACCACACGTTGTAGCACCTAATCCTGAGAATGTCAACCTAAACAAACAAAAATGGACAAAAGAAAAAAGACAAAAAACATTTAAGTCTAAAGTTTTTATTAGATCCAGTCCCATTGTAACCGAGAACAAATTCGATACCTTGTCTGAAAATGTTCCTAGTCTATCAAAGGCAAATAATCAGTATGTTGGCCTAAATAAAAAACCTCAGATAAAAAAACCTCAACATAACAAAGATAAAGTTGAAAAGGTGTTTACAAATAATATAAAAAGAAAGAGAAGAAAAAAGAACAGGAGCTTTTGAAAGCAGAAAGAATGAGAAAAAGAAAAGGGAAAGGCACAAGAAATGAAAAATAAAAGAATGAAGAAACAAACCATTATCACATCAGATGAAAGCTCAGTAGATGACCCAGAGGACTGTTGTAATATTGAAATAACGAATCAAGAAATCTGTGTAAATAATTACGTTACAGTTCATTACGAAGGAGAGTATTTCCCAGGAATAGTCACTGTCGATAACACCAAGTGAGTTGATAATCTATAAATTAAGTAATTTTATTTGCTAGATATAAGCATAAACACATTTGAACACATTAATAGAACTATATAGTCAGTCTGAAAAAATCATATTATATCACAGACTTTTCTGAACGAAAACGTACATAAAAAAATAAAGTTGACTCAACCCTTAGAGTATTAGTAACTCGTACATTTCTTACTGTTGGGAAAATTATGAAATGTACTAAAGGTAGAGCCCATAACAAACTGATTCAGAAAGGGAGGAATTCATCCATACAATGCAAACGTTGTTCCCAAAACAAAGTTTGACCAAGAAGCCTTACAAATGTGGGAAGCACAGAAATCTGCAACAACAGCTAATCCAGCTCAAGATCATTCCACTTTGGTTATTACTTTGCCAAAGACTGAAGCGACTGTCACCTCCTTGCCACAGCCTGAAGTAGACTCCATTGGCATCCCTCCACTGCCTGCCCTGGTTCCAGTCACTTCATCAAATGTAGCTTGTCCTTCAGGACAGAGTGAACCATTGAATGTTGAAGCCGAAGATGACTTTGCAGAGATTGACATGGAAGACCAGTCGCTTGATTCTCATACTACTGCATCCTTGTCAAATTATAGTTCTGAAAGTATACTTTTAAGAACTTTTTAAAGTAGAATCTTCCTCCGATGTGAGTACCTTAAACCAACACCCAATTTGATAATTTATATACCTGCCCATCTAAATAACATAGGATTGAGAGTAGCCTACCTATCTAATAGCAAATGTATTCCCACAAATATGTTGTGCCTTAGCGAGGGTTTCTAAATATTAAGAGTATTTTTTTTTATTCTTAGATGGGGCTTCGGTCAGCGGATGGCAATGTCAGTCCAGAGGACAGCACTACTTCCCTTACCCTGAACACTGACAGTGAGAATGCGTATATATCGGAAGTGGGGATGAAGATGATCCCGAAATTGACTCATATGCCAACTCATCTCGAGTTGTAACTTCCCTTATCAACAAACCCATTGGATCGGGGAGCTTAAAAAAGACGCCTTTCAAAAGTTGGATCTAAATTGTCATGTTTGGAATCCAAGTTTAACAATGCCTACAACATTCTTCAATAATCGGTGGCCAAAAAAGGGGACGAAGATGACACTTTTGGGGAGTTTGTGGCCCAATCTATAAGAAACATCAATGACCGTAAAACAAAAAGCTGGGTTAGGCACCAAATTACCAATATTTTGAACCAAGCGGAGTTCAATAATACTCAGCAAATCACACCCTTGTCTCGTAATGTAATGCCGAGTAATATTCCTTCAATGCCAGCGCAATCATCGAACAAACTTAACTTAATCAGTACTCATCCTCAACATGTATTCTGTCACTCAGACATGCATCTAGGAGAAACAGGCAAAAATAACTATACACAATTACATAGGGGTTTTAACCCTTCCCACGCGGCAAACGCATATATACGCAGGCCTCAAATTTTGCCGAAACGCGTAATCCGTATATATGCGTATCTTCTTTATTTATAGTCTGTAGTTGGTGTAACGTCCGCTAGAGTTCAGGGTTGTATTGGTTTGTGTTCCGCTGATATTGCCGAGTGCACCCGAATCACTGTCAAGGTCGCTGGCTCACTAGTGGTGGGGAGGGAGGGGGTTTTGTTTGTCGCCGCATGGAATTTTCCGTGTCTGTGCGGTAGTCCCGCGCTAAGTCCGCATATATATGCACGCCACGTACTGCTGCTATTTAGCGAGTTTCTTTGTTTGCGTTGAGTCCGTACGGCGGATATTTAGTGAGTTTTATTGCTTGTGTTGTGTTCCGTGTGCTGTGTGTTATTTTCTTTATTTGTACAGTTATGTTTTTCTGGGGTTTCTAGCCAATAATTTTTTCTTATAATTGAAAATGGCGAACCCTGATGACCCGGACTTCAACGTCTTTGTAAATGATCTAATGAATGCTTCTTTTTCGTCCGCATATGTTGATATGGATATAGATGACAGTGACCGTGAGGACGCGCTAATATATAACAATCCTGGTGAAAGTGAAAGTGACGGAGAAGTCAGTCAACCCCCTCAACCTCTAGCACTGCCGCTGGATTCACAACCACCTGTCACACCCCTTCAACCTCCAGCATTGCCCGGCTCCACAACTGATACCAGTCACACCACCTATGATGACCTTATAAATGATATAGGCCTAACAAATACTTCCTTCTCGTCTATAATTGATGTTATGGAGATAGATAGTGACCGTAAGGACATTTCTGTCACATCACCGCCGGTTTCACTACCGACACCTGTGACACCGCTGCCGACTCCACTACCAACACCTGTGACACCGCTGCCGGCTCCACTACCAACATCCGTGACACCGCTGCCGACTCCACTACCAACACCTGTGACACCGCTGCCGGCTCCACTACCAACATCCGTGACACCGCTGCCGGCTCCACTACCAACACCTATCACAGACCCTCAACCTCCAGCTAGGGCCAAGCGGTCTCGTGGTGTCAAACGAGCACCTGTGACACCACCGGCTCCACAACCGACACCTGTCACAACCCCTCAACCTCCAGCTCCGGCCAAGCGGTCTCGTCGTGTCACACGAACACCTGTTACACCGCCACCGGCTCCACAGGCCCAGCCTCCACCCGACTCTGCCGACCTGCCTACCGCACAACTCAGCGACTGGGTTGACGTCACTGATAACGACCCTGGCCCTTCGCATACCATCCCGATATATTCGGTAAGTGCTGGACCTGTACTTCCTGCCGCGTTCGATAGCGAGTCAGAGCCCATTGATTATTTCAAATTGTTTTTCAACGATAACATATTTGATCTTATTTGTACTGAAACAAACTTATATGCTAACAAGCGGAAAGCTCAGTGTAATTCACCCCGTGGTAGAATAAACACGTGGAAGGACATCACCCCTGTTGAACTGAAAGCCTTTTTTGCAACTATAATAAATATGGGGTTGATTCCACTACCGTCTATTGAATCCTACTACTCGACTACCTGGATAGGGCGAATACCTTTTTTCAGAGACGTGTTCAATAGAGATGAGTTCTTGAATATTTTCTGGAATCTCCACTTCAATCACAAGGATACCAACAATGCAGTGCCCAGGGGATTTCTTGTTTCACCCATAGTCGACCATATGAAAGAAATGTGTAGGCTTTTTTATAACCCCTCAGAACACATTTCAGTCGACGAGAGCACCATTTCCTTCAAAGGAAAAGTTAGTTTTAGGATCTATAACCCAAACAAACCAACCAAATTCGGTTTGAAGATCTTTGTTGTGTCCGATAGCAAGAGTGGCTATCTATATGATTTTATCCCATATTACGGAAAGGAGACACTAATACCAGACACAACATTGCTAAAAACAACACAGATTGTAAAAGTATTAGCCCAGTCTGTTGCTATGAAAGACCCTGTTTCACCTGCTACTGGTCTCCACGTTTACACAGACAGATATTACACGAGTCCTGAAATAGCAGAAGAGCTATTAGGTATGGGATGTTTCCTTACAGGCACTGTAATGCCAAACAGAGTTGGTTTACCACCAAGATTGAAAGCTATTGGTAAAGGCCTAAAAAAGGGGGAAATTGTTTCCAAGCGAAAGGAAAATACACTGGTACTTTCTTGGAAAGATAAGCGCACTGTACACATGCTAAGCACTTTTTCCAAGGGTAGCAAACATAATACGACGGATGTCCCAAGCAAGTGGCCGAACAAGCCACCAACAGCAAAACCGCATGTTATCCTTGATTACATAAAACATATGGGAGGCGTTGATCACACCGATCACTTTATTTCATCTTACCAGTTTATGCGCCGAACTAGAAAATGGTATAGAAAAATGTTTTTCTGGCTTTTTGAGGTGGCTATTGTGAACTCGTACATTATGTACAAAGACATACAACAAAAGCACAACAAAAATCCCATGTCACATAGGCAGTTCCGCACATGCTTGGTGAAGTCCTTGGTAGAGGAAAAACTCGCTAATCGTCCAATAGCACGTAAAAGAGGCCGTCCAGTCTACGGGCCACCGAATCAACGGTTAGATGGAAACCCACATTTTATGGACAGAAAAGAAAAGGGAGCTAATCGGTGTGTGGTGTGTTTCAAAAATGGACGCCGCCGCGAGACAATCTACTTCTGCAAGACTTGCGACTCCCGTCCGGCGCTTCACCCAGACACCTGTTTCGAGCAGTTCCACACGATGGCTGAGTACTAGAACTTTATAATGTTTTTGTTGGACCCTAACATTGTTTTTAGTGATTTTTTATGAACTTGGCATTGTATTCCTTTTTATAATATTCTGTTTCAAAACTGTTTAGAAATACTTTTTTTCAATTTTCAATTTTTGTACGTTTATTTTTTTTTTTTTTTATTTTTTTTTTTATTTTTTTATCGTTTTTGTATGCTAATATTGTCTTTTGTATCAATTTTACAACAATACTGCATTTTTAATTTTTCTCTAAACAATTACAAGTAAACAAAATAGAAAAATAAAATAATTTCTCATTTTGTATGTAAAACTTTAAAATTCGTGTAAAATATATTATATTGATTTTTTTTCTTTATGCTTAGTATTTTTTTTATCCTTGGATATGTCCAAATGTAGAAGTAAAATTCGCCAGTAAAAAAAAAAAAAAATAAAATAAAATAAATTCCGCTGTTGGGGTTTAGGTGAGGTAAATGATATTCCGCGTGGGAAGGGTTAAGAGATACAAATTATTATTAGTTTTGATCTAGATTTATGACATACTAGCAGAGTACCCGTCCTTCGAACGGGGTTGGCGGATAAGAATGCTTATTGCAGTTATACTCGTGCTTTGCGTTTGCAATGGTAGAGGACTCGTTTTAACAAGTTTGTTTACTAGGCCTATAATTCACAAAATATTAGGTTTTACAATACCTTTATCAGTTCCAATTGTAACCTTCGTCAACGTGTGTGTTACATGTTTCGGCGAGCTGCCATTGTCAACACTTCATTACAGGAATATGTAGATCCGCTTGAATAGCTTCGTTCTCACAATACATTACACGACAAACAACATTTACACACGACACGTACGACATAAAAAATAAAATAAATACTTTTAGTTTGATAGGCCTATCTGTCTGTTTAATTAATTAATAGTCTGTTCCTGCTCGTGTACCGGCAATGTTGCATATTCGTGATAGGCCTATCAAACTAAAAGTATTTATTTTTATTTTTATGTCGTACGTGTCGTGTGTAAATGTTGTTTGTCGTGTAATGTATTGTGAGAACGAAGCTATTCAAGCGGATCTACATATTCCTGTAATAAAGTGTTTGACAATGGCAGCTCGCCGAAACATGTAACACACACGTTGACGAAGGTTACAATTGGAACTGATAAAGGTATTGTAAAACCTAATATTTTATATATTACGGTTCCGGGGCTACAACAATGAATTCTATAATTCACAGTAAACTATTACAGTATATAGCACATCTCCCATAGCCATAATGTTGTACCACTGCACCCAAACAATAAAAACAAGAAAAAAGTTAAGTTCCTACAGCTTTGTTGCTGCTTGGTTCAAATTAGCTGTTGTCATAAATCTAAAAAGAATTAATAGGGCTGCACCCTGTTGATAAACCTTATAACCTTTTAATGCTATTGAATATCATAGAATAAACTTGTGTAGTAGGAACAGCTGGCAAAATTCCTTAACTCCCTTTAAATATGAATTCTCATAAGGTTAACTTGGGAAACTCTAGAGCCACTGGGGCGGAGCCCAAAAAGATTTTAGAGGAAAAAATATGTCTATATGTTAATCGGGAATGTGAGCTATCATCACACCAAATTTCAGCCCAATCCGACCAGTATCTTTTGCGTTTACTTGTCACAAACATACATACATCCACTTTCTCATTTATAATATTAGTAGGCTAGGCATATTAGGAATATAATTGGCAGTTAGCGGAAAGTTTAGGTACAGTCCTAATCATCACATTTCTTTATGTTTTTTGGGTCGCTGAACACGAATATGAGGTTTGCTGACAGATATTTTGCCCGGAACATTGTTTATTTTGCGAAAAACCTTAAAATTTTGGCACTTTTTTTGGTTTTTCGGGCAAATCTCGGTAAGTGTGGGTTTTTGAGAAAGTCCTGCTTTGTAAAATTACAGATGACAAAATTTACTACAAGTTTCCTATATAATATTTGTTTCTACGACGAACCGTTACGCCACTAGAGCACACTAAAAAAGGCCAGAAGTACAAAAAATTAAAATCATTGCTAAATGCTGCCGTTTTACAATAGGTTTCCAAGGAAACAACCCATGTTACGATAATTTTAACTATTTATTCATGATAACAAACTGAAACACATTTAAACATACCCCCGCCGCAGCAAACCTGTAGACTAAGCGAATTTGCCATTTCCCTGATTGGATTTACACTAAAATGTCTCCTTAAAAATATCACATTTATTCCCTATTTAAATAAATGTAAGGGGGGTCGGATGACTTTTCGGGTCAAAATTATGAAATTTTTTTTTTTAATCTAATTAAATTCCTTGTAGTTTTCTGCGCATTTTGATATGTAATTTACTTAATTCCGACTATTATTACCATAGTTACAAGCAAATATGTAAAGATATGCACTCACATTTTCCGGCCCTCAACGAGTAAAAACCATTCTCATACATATACTTTCGGAATTCTAACTCATGCAGGTGATATTACATTCTGTTGGGTTGGTAGTAAAGCTCTCTGTCTAGTGGTGTCTGTCTAGTGTCTGCTGCTACGATCATCTGTGATTGTTTTGTGTTGGTGTAAAACTTTTACAGTTTGTTTAGTGAGTGAATAACTTTTGTTTTTGAAGTATTTTCTTTCAAAATGCCTAGATTAAAACCTACTTTTAAAACTAGAGCTAAAGTGTTCACTGGCAGAAGAAATCCTGGTGGTAAAGTAAATAGTAGGCCTAATGTAGTTTCTGAAAACTTGCTTCTTGGGTTAGGCCTGGATCCTAGGCCTAGTTCTGATGCAACTCCTCAAAATCCACAAAATGTTGTGTTGCAAAAAGAGAGCTCCTCCAAGAGGAAGATTGGTCCTCAGATAAATAATTACAAACAGTATAAAGGGAGTTGTAGCTTTGAAGGAGGCTGTAATGATATTGTAAACCTTGGTAAAATAGAACTGTTGTTGAGTAAGATAGCGGTGTGTAATCGATGCGGAGGCTCGGTTTCAGTTTGTACTTCAAATCGTCAAGGACTCAGTGTAAATATTCATATCAAGTGTAATTCTTGTGCCTATGAAGTGAGTGAATACAATAGTAACAAACTGCAGGAATGTAAAGGTAAGACTGAGGTGAACATTAGGTTAGCCTATGCATTCCGCAGTATTGGCAAAGCTGACTATGCCGCTAAAGTAGTGTGTGGTATTATGAATTTACCTAGGCCTCCTGCCTTCAAATATTACACTAAAGTTTTGGGAAATGCTGCTAAAGAGGTATGTGATGCATCGATGAGAGAAGCTGCTGAGGAAGTAGTAGGTTTAGAAGAAAATGACAGCGATCGTGACATCACGGCAATCTTTGACGGGACATGGCAGAAACGAGGACACTCATCGTTGAATGGTGTTGTGAGTGCTATCAGCGGAGAAACCGGTAAAGTTATTGATGTGAAAATAATGAGCAAATATTGCAGATGCCGAGGAAGATTAGAACAACAACATGAGACTGGATGCACGGCTAATTATCAAGGTACAAGTGGGGGCATGGAAAGTCAAGGTATTCTAGAGATGTTCAGAGAATCCGAACGTAAGTATGGAATCCGGTATAAGTATTTTTTGGGTGATGGTGATAGTTCTGCATTTCCTAATGTTGTAAAAGAACAACCATATGGGCCTGAGTTTGAAATTATAAAAAGAGAGTGCGTTGGCCATGTACAGAAAAGAATGGGATCCCGATTGAGAACTCTGAAAAAGAAATGGGGAAAAACCAAGCTAGCGGACGGGAAAACTATTGGAGGTAAAGGGCGCCTAACACAATCAGTCATAAATGATATGCAGCTGTATTATGGACTTGCAATCCGCAGGAACATAACAAGTCTTGAAGCAATGAGAACCGCCATTTGGGCAGAATATTTTCATATGGTTTCTACCAACGAGCGTCCTGCTCATGGCCTTTGCCCGCGAACTGCCGACTCGTGGTGTAAATATCAGAAGGCTAAGATAAATGGGGAAGAGTATGATCACAGGCAGCACAACCATGTTGAACCCATTGTAATGGAACAAATTAGACCAATTTTCAAAAACTTGACTGATAGGACTTTGCTGGAAAAATGTTTACACGGGAAGACGCAGAACCCGAGCGAGTCCCTAAATAATGTTATATGGTCTAGAATCCCTAAGACAACATTTGTCATGAAAGAAACATTACAACTAGGAGTTCATGAAGCAATAGCCTGTTTCAACAAAGGCAATATAGTGAAATGTGAACTGCTACATAAGTTAGGTATTACTCCAGGAGGAAAGTGTGTCGAAGCCATGCGCGATCTCGATGAGAACCGTATCAAAAGAGCGGAGAAGGCGATTAGTGAAGTGGAAAAAAAGTGCCGACAGAAATTGACAGCTGCAAAGAGAAGACTGGAAGACACATATGAGGCACAGGAGGATCCTGACAATCCATCATATGGTCCAGGAATGCACTAAAGGTATGTCTAGTTTTCTCAAGTCGATTAAACGCCTTTTTCCGTAAATCATGTTTTTATTACTTTAGGTACACATAACTTTTAAACCAGTTAAGATATTTTAATAAATTTTTTTTTGTTTTGTTTGTTATAAAGTTATCTACATTTACAGCACAGCATATTTGTCAGAACCAATTTTTTGTACTTTAAAAAAATTGCAGAAAATATTTTTTTTTCATTTTTTTTAACGTTAAAATAAAAATTTATAATTTTGTTAAAAACAATTTTTATTTAATTTGCTGTGCTCTATTATTAGAAAAAGATGTCCTGATTACAGAGAAAAAAACTGCATCTTGCTATCTTTAATGGTTTCAAAGTTATGTGTACCGAAAGTTACATAAATTTGCATGTAAGAGATAGGGTAATCCGACTCCCCTAACGAGTACTTAGGTTTGCTGCAACAGGGAGGGTAAAAAGATGTTTTTTTTGTGAAATGTATTAGTTTAGTATGAAATGAATGCATTTTCCAAATGTGATCAAAATGTGTTCATAAACAAGCAAACTACAACAGTTTACTTATTGTCCATAAAAAATAACATGGGCATTTTAAATTTACAGATTTTTGGAATTTTCTCCGTAACCATTATGCTCATAACAACGCTTTAATATACTAAATTATTTGTCTTTTTAAGCTCTACAAAATGGTATGGAAAGAAATCG